GGTGCCAGCCCCATATACTGGAGCTGGTGGGTTCAAACCCGGCCCTGGCCAAAAAAAAAAAAAAAAAGAAAAAAACTGGCTCGGCGCCAGTGGCCCAAGCGGCTAAGGCGCCAGCCACATACACCTAAGGTGGCAGGTTCGAATCCCCGGCCCGGGCCCGCCAAACAACAATGATAGCTGCAACCAAAAAATGGCCAGGTGTTGTGGCGGGCGCCTGTAGTCCCAGCTACTTGGGAGGCTGAGGCAGGAGACTCGCTTGAGCCCAGGAGTTGGAGGTTGCTGTGAGCGTGATGCCATGGCACTCTACCCAGGGGAATAGCTTGAGGCTCGGTCTCAAAAAAAAAAAAAAAAAGAAAGAAAGAAACTATAAAAATTAGCCAGGTATGGTGGCAGGCACCTGTAGTCCCAGGTACTAGGAAGGCTAAGGCAGGAGGATTGCAGAAGTTTGAGGTTGCTGTGAGGTAAGCTGAGGCCATGGCACTCTAGCCCAGGTGACAAAATAGGATTCTATGCCTTAAAAAAAAAAAAATAAGAAGGCAGGGAAGAATTAGCAACACTAACATAAGTAAATGCCTGTTACATACAATGATGCTCTTCCGTGGAAAAATAGGATGTCCAACTACTTCAATGTCTCACATTTAGTTAGAGGACAGACTTTCCACATCTTCAGAAGGGAACTCACTTTTCTTCCAGGTCATAACTTCTAAAAGTTTATACCATCCAGTAACATTCACCAAATATTTATTAACACTTTGTATCGTGTACTCTATGAGGCACTAAATATGTCTGTGAAAACAGTGTACAAATTTAGCCAACGAGAAGCAAATGAGCAATTAAAAACCTTAAGTCCAGGACAGGCAGGGCTGCCTGTAATCGTTGCACTCAGGAAGGCCAAGGAGGGTAGACTGCTTGAGCTCAGGAGTTCGAGACAAGCCTGAGCAAGAGCGAAACTCATCTCTTCTGAAAACAGAAAAACTATAAATGGACACCGCATAAGTATATTGGCATACCTTTTGGATGGGGAACACAACTGCAAGAGGGACTCTACTTAACATATCCAAATATTGTAACCTAGTCGTTTATATCCTCACATTAACCTGAAAAGAAAAAAAAAAAAAAAAGAAGACGACTAAAACTGCCTAAGGAGGCTGAGGCAAGAGGATCACTTGAGCCCAAGAGTTTGATGTTGCAGTGAACTATGACACCACACCACTCTACCCAGGGTGATGGAATGAAACTCTGTCTCAACAACAACGAAAAAAAAACATTAAGTCCTATGGGATCACACACTACTGACTATGAATAAGGAGCAAGAAGGGTGAGAAAGACATGAATTTTCTAGAAGAGGACACAGCAAATGCAAAGTCCTGAAAAAAAGAAGACGGACCATTTAAGGAAAGGGCAGAAATAAAGTATGCAGAGGAATGCTGTGACAACTAGTAGGGGGGCCAGGGTAAGAATGGCAGAAAAAAGTTAGTGCTGGAAAAACACACAGTGAGGGGATTAGCTCACAAATGGTACCAATGAACCTTGTATGCACTAACTCTGCTAAATTTATTAATTCTAATAGTTTATAGATTCCATTGCATTTTCTACATATGTAATCATGTTATAGATAAATAAAGACAATTTTACATCTTTCTAATTTTTAATGCCGTTTAGTTTTCTTGACTTATTGTAATGGCTAAGAACTGCAGTAAGTTGAGTGGTGACAGAAAGCATTCCAAACTCAGCCAGAAAGTAATCAATCTATCACCAACGATTATGATGTTCACTGTAGATTTTTAAATAGATAACCTTTACATATTTATGATGTTTCTTTCTACTCTTAGTTCACTGAAACTTTTTATCACAAATGGCTACTGAATTTTGGAAAAGGTATTTTTTCTACTTCTACTGAGATGATCATATGTGCTTTCTTCTTCACTCTAATATGATAAATTACACCGTTTATTTTACCAATATTAACTACCTTTTTGGGGGGGGGCAGTTTTTGGCCGGGGTTGGGTTTGAACCTGCCACCTGCCAATGCCCTACTCCTCTGAGCCACAGGTGCCACCTTAACCATCTTTTTGTTCCTGGAATAAATCTCAGTTCTTCCTGGTGTATAGTTCTTTCTCTATATCACTGGATTCTGTTTAACCATGCTAATAATAATTAAATTACTAGTATTTAAATGTAAATATAATTTAACGAATATAACTAATTAAAATACTAATATTTATATGTAAATCATACCAAGAAGGAAGGAAAGATGGATAGAAGGATTGGAGGGAGGGAAAGGAGGGAGAAGTGAGGGAAGAGAAGGGAGGAAAGAAGGAAAGTATTAGGTATGAGAAGTTGAATATTAGAAAAACATGATAGCACAAGATAATTATTCGATAGAAGCTTTAGTAAGCCACACTGGAACAATCTTCTAAAAAGAACAGGACAGAAGTGATTTTTAAAAAATTTAACCAGAGGGCAGCGCCTGTGGCTCAGTAGGCAGGGCGCCAGCCCCATATACCGAGGGTGGTGGGTTCAAACCTGACCCCGGCCAGCTAAAACAGCAGTTGACAACTGCAACAAAAAATAGCCGGGTGTTGTGGCGGGCAGCTATAGTCCCAGCTACTCAGGAGGCTGAGGCAAAAGAATTGCCTAAGCCCCAGAGTTGGAGGTTGCGGTGAACTGTGACACCACAGCACTCTACTGAGGGCAACAAAGTGAAACACTGTCTCAAAAAAAAAAAAAAAATTAACCAGTACAGGGGATTTAACACGAAAATAATACAAATCATAGAAAGAGAGAACAAAGAAAACTAAAGGGAAGAAGTTATCAACAATAAAAATTTAAGAAAATTTCTTAAAACTATTAAACTTACTTTTCTAAATTAAAGGGGCCAGGAAAACATGAATCAGACATAGGCTGCAAAGTTTTAGAACATGAGAAACAGCCAAAATTCTGAGTTCCCAGAAAGAAAAACAAGGCATAAACAATGAAAAGGTAGCAAAATGGCCTCGGAGTCTTCCGCAAAACAGTAAACCAGTGCCTTCAAAATTCTGAGATATTATTATAAACAAGTATTTGTTACCTATCCAAATTATCAATTGAGAGTCAAAGTAGAATAAAGACATCTTCAGACTGACAAGATTTCCCACACATCCTTTTTCAGCAAGCTACTTCTATCATGAGGGAATAAAGCAAATGGGTAAAAGAGAGCAGTGGGGCATCACTGCCTTTCCATTATATCTTATGTGATCAGTTGCACATAAAACTTTGGAAATAAAAAATCTAAAAGGCTGGTTCAAAGGCAGTGAATTATAGCAAGTGATCGTTCACAGTCAGTTACAGATTAAACTCCTTGCTCTCCTCTTCCCCCCTTATCAGTACTATACCTCACTAGTCTTTAAAAAAGAATCTAAAAAATTAATCAAATACAATAATAGCTACACACAACTGATTTGTTCAAATTGCAACAGAACAATTACCCATGTAAAACTATGTTTTAAATCTAATACACTTTTAAATACGCTTATTATAGAGGAGGAAAAAAATCTGTTTTTAAATGGGAAAGTGAACTAAACTTCTAAATAAAATTATAGGAGCAATATTAGATACTTTCACAAAAAATAGCTGCCTCAAAAGTTAAGAAAAGTTGAACATTAATAAGTATAAACAAAAGCACTTCAGACATAAAACAAAAATATGACTCTGTGAATTATATACAAAAGAAAAAGACATATCAGAGTTCTTTAGTAATAAAGTGCTTGATTCCCACCATTCAATGAGAAGAAGTCGGCTATTCAAAAAACTTTCTAGAAAAGAATGGCCTAGTAGAATCTTCTTCACCAAAATATAAATGCAACAAAAACCAGAAAGAGAGAGGGATAGAGAGAGAAAGAGAGCACATGTGTGATCATGTGAGGGAGAAACAGAGAAACAGCTAAAAAGCTGAAATCTGTATATGCCATATAATTGAATAGCAAGGGAGAAAATCTCCACATGACTGCAGGATATTATTGCCTGTTTCCTTCAGCCTCCCCATTTCATTTAAGCAGATTTAATCACTAAATTAATCCCCAAAAATTATTTATGCATAACCACACTGTCCTAAGTTTTAGTATTCATTATTCTCCAATACTTAAAAGAACATTTTCCCACTTCAGGGTAACCTTTAAATATAATCGAATTAAAATATTTTAATATCCTCTTCTTAAACACATTTTAAGATATCCGAACAGGATTAATATCATTGTGTCTTTAAGTGCCATGCAAAAACATTCTTGAGGGAACACAGAAAAGTTAATGAGAAAATATAGCCTTTAGAAAGCTCAAATAATTAAAGAGCCCAAAATTTACCCATCTAAATACCAGATTGAACACAAAACATATGTGCATTTGTTAGATGGATATAAAACATCTATACTATTTAAACACAACATTAAGAAGATTCTCTATTCAAATGAAGATGAAAAGTTTAAAGCTGAAATTTCCACTTTCAACATAGCTGGAGACGCAAAGAGCAGAGTCATCCGCAACGGAGATAATAGTGAAAACCAAGCTCTCCAAGGCAGTAAGTATAACTGAGAAGAAGGGCAAAGGCACGAGAACAACAGAGACTTGAGGAAAACCCACAGAAGAAAGCTAAGCCAGAAATATAACAAAGACAGCACAGTCAGCAAGGAAGGGATCTGGAAAGAACGATGCCATGAAAACCAAGAGAGAAAAGGGCTTCAAGAAAGAGCCAGCAAAGGCAGAGGCTAAACTGAGATCAAAGTGGATGGAGATAAATCAAAACCACAGCAGAAAGTGAATGACCATATTGAATTGGTTAAGATTACCTATTTCCATCTCAACTGACAGAGCTAAGAGTTTATCTTGAGGGGAGGAGGGGAAGGGGAATGGACACTTAGAGGAAAACAGGCTTTAGTTATCATTCTTGCTGTCTGTAGTCCAAGACCAACAAAAGAGAAACTCTTTCTGAATGATTTGTTTTTTTTTTTCTTAAGGGCTACACTCACCAAACTGTGGAACAGGCAAGATTCTAGCTGCTCGAATTGGGCCATGTCGAACAGAGAAGAGTTCCTGTGCTTCCCCACTGATCTGCATAAAAGAAGCCAGAGAAAAATCCAGTAAATGAAAATGCAGGTCATAACATTATTACAGGAAAATAAGATCTCCTAAATTTTACCATAATTTTTCAGCTAAAACATATACATACATGTACACATATACAAATACACCCACACACATTTATGGTTGGTCATACACGTAAATAAAGTCGTATCTGAAATTACCATAAGCAATTTTAGAAAATTACAAGAGCACACACTTAACATGAACAAAAAAAGGTCCTAGAAGTCTATAATTTTCATCTTACTTTTTAAAACGATTAAAAATTTGCAGTTTCTGCACAGCTGCCTTCCCTTTGAGAGCAAAGCAACTATGATACTATTCCAAAAAGCTCAACTTGAATATTGTAGCACTGCTAATAAATATGTTGTAAATTAAGAAAAGCAATAGATGCCACACAGAACGCTTAACTGAAATGTGAATAACTTACGTACGTTACAATTCTGCAACTAATTATCTGTTAACCTTGAATAAATCATTTAACCTCAATAAGTCTATATCCTCTGGCAATTATAAAATGAGAAGGAAAAGCTGCTAAAAAATCCTCCAGGATACCTTTCATTTCAATCTTCTGTGAAGAAAAGTTATATGTAAGCAATGTTAAAAGTTATTTTCATTATACACATAGATCAAACACTGCAAGAACATACATTCACTTTGAGTCATACCAAACTTACTCCTCACTTACAGAGCACAGTATTGTACTAATCCAAAGGGTAAAAGGTATGCTAATATGTGTCAAGTGGGAAAACAGCTGCTTCCAACTATTAACTGAAGTACTGAACAAATTAAACTAAAATTAGGTAAGAATGGCTCCCCAGACTTATCTGGCCCTGTATAGTTCTCAGTACATTTTCACAACTGCTTAGTGTTTGATGGAATATATAATACCAGAGAAAATGGCAAACATTATAAAACCAGTTCTACATAGCCAACAACATACGATAGATGTACTAAAGGTATAAAGACAAAAAGTCAATAGAGGAAATGTACTGATGGCATTTTTTAAAAATAGGCCTGCCAAACAAGCAGTTTAAAATATTAAAAACATATACATTATAAAAGCCTTATAAATATTATAATATTAAACTATAAATCTACAGAGCTGCCTTTTAGAGTAATTACTCACTTGTTTTAGATTTTCAGCTCTGGTCTATCCGAATTAAAAAACTTCAAACTATATTTTTGTTTCTTACAAATGTGAAATGATGGCAATGCCTAAAGAACCATCACATTCATTTGCTTATGATAATTACCACAATTTATTTGTTAGCTGCAGTGACAAATCCTTCTGTGACACTTGGGATGCACCGGGTGGAGGAACGCTAGGACTAACTGTGCAACAATAGCACCACCTATCACCAGTGAAACACACAAAAGCTGTAAATTCAGTAGAGCAAACTGTAAGAACTTACACACTCTGAAAATTCCTTCCTGGCCTTTAATTTTCCAAAGAACATCAAGGCCATTATAGCCTACATTTAATTACAAAAGAACAGAATTAAAAATTAAGAAAAAGCCATAAAAGATTGTTTTGTTCAATCTCCCACCCAAAGTAGTAATCATACATTCTCTGAAACCTAAAAATAACAATCTTTTTAATTTAATTTTTTAATCTCTTTAAGCAAACTTATGCTAAAAGATGTCTGAGAGGTGCTTTATTGGCTATTTGATTTAAGTAACATTTGAAACTTTAACAGTAGCCAGTAGAATAAAACCATTGCCAAGTCATTTACATTTTGAAAATAAATTATTGAGAAATATAATACCCTTCTCCAATATTCGTGCATTTTCAATTAATAAGAAAATTTAAAATTAAGTTATATGAAAATACTGTCGAACTGAAAAATACTTCTCACCTGTAAGGTTTATACTTGTAACAAATCATAGTATTCTAACACACAAAACCTACTGTGCTCTCTTATTATTTCCACATGCCAGAGGTCTAGCACTAAGCTTTTGGTTCTCTAAAAGCCTTAATGTTAAAGAAATATAATCATATTTAACTGAGTTGCTGTACTTAATTATACTAAAAAATAAACAATAAAACAAATCTATCTTAGCATAGTCACCATGTGCTAAAGATATATCATTGTATTTAATACGCAAGAGCTTATTTTGACACAGAAAAACATTTTGAAATCTGAACACACCAGGCTTTTCAGCAAAACAACTTTCAAAACAAACCTAAATGCCTACTATCCTAAGCTTCTATTCCAGCAGTTCTCAATCTGTAGGTCATGACCCTTTTTAATAATGAAAATACAATGCAGCATTAGGAAGGTTGAGAACCATGTTCTATTCTAAATCTCTTTGTATATAAAGCAACAAGTGAGAAAAACAGATTTTTCTATTATAATGTGCACCCACATTCATTGCCCCTTCTTTATTACCTCTAAGTTAAGGTCCTAGAATCTTTGTTTAATTATAATATAGGGGAAGGAAAGAGAGGAGGAAATATTATGTTACATCTATAGATAGTTGTGAATATATTAAAATCATGGTTGTGCAACCTACTGAAACTAGAAACATAATTCTAAACTACACATGTGAGTCACAAATGTCCAACTTCCTAGAGGAGACCACTCTCTAAGTGGTATGTGCAAACCGTATATTAGAATACCATTTCAAACAGAAACATCACTAACACAGGGTACCAAGATGTGTACATTTTAAAAAGGACATACAGAGGATAGATATGTCCTTAAAAGACTGTTTTTGCTACCATTCTGAATTACCTCATCATAAAGTATGTCCACTGATAATTTTGCCTTAAAATTAATGAGTATTAAAACTGATTTTTTATCAGTCTGAGCTTGCTTACAAGACCCAGCTCCACCAAAAAATAGAACATTTAGCCAGGTGTGGTGGTGTACACGCCTGTATTCCCAGCTACTCAGTAGGCTGAGCCACAAGGATCACTTGAGCTCAGGAGTTTGAGGTTGCAGTGAGCTGCAATGATGTCACTGCACTCTACTCGGGTGACAAGCAAGACCCTGTCTAAAAAAACAAACAAAAAACCTTCAATATTAAAACATTCAACTATTTTCTCAAAATTGAATCTTAGGCTTCTTAAAAAGGGCTCATTGATTGAAAATGAGAAAGAATCTCAGAGATAAGAATTTCATAGATCCTGAAAAGAATTATATGAAGCTGTAAGTTCACTTTTAAACCAACAGTAACAATATATACAAGAGCAGAACTACAAGGAAGGAGTAAATCAAGCAGGGTTCCAACTTCCTGGCAACTGTGGTAACTTGGGAAGAGGAGCGACTGGGAGGAAACCTCTCCAAGAGCTCTTCATGCTCCCTGCCTTTGTTCTTACTGGCATTTTAATTTCTGATGACAGACTTTTGTTGTTTGGGGCATAAACCGGACGTACCAGTTTGGAGGCACAATAAGGAGAACAAAGAATGATTTGTTCACACTGTAGTAAAAAAAAAAATCTTTTCCAACCATAGAAAATAGCTTTCGCATGGTGAAAAAATGCAAATGACATACCAAACCAAAAAAAGGGAAAGGGGGAGTACAATTTTAGAATCTTACAACTCAATCTGAGGCAAAAGGAAATTACAACAGCCAAGACAATAACATATACATAGAAAAGGCTATAAAAGTTCAGGGAGGGCTTTTAGAATTCTCTAAAAGCAAATGAAGTTCATCTAGTCTTCAGAGGACTTTCCATAGACTATCAGACTACAATACAGAAAATCCAAATACTAATGACAACAAAAACAATGCTCGGCAATGCCACAGAATTAGGACAAGATTCTGTTCTATTCTAAATCTTTGTAAATAAAGATCTCTACCTTCCCTGTAGATACTGGTTAAATGGATGTTTGTGGTCCACAAATGATTGTTTTAGTAAACTTTACTGAAAGATAAGAAACACTGAAAAAAAAAAATACATTAACTGATAAGTATCTATGCAGCTTAATGAGTTTCCAGTGTTAATATACCTCTGTACTGACAGACATCAAGAAAGAACATAATGGATACTCAGAAGCTCCTGCTATGTCCCTTCCCAGGCATAAACGCAACTCCAGAGGGACCATGACCACCATCCTGAACTGTAACACCTTATATAAGCTCTGTTTGTTCACCTTTATTTTAATGGGCTCACAAAGTACACACTCCTGTGAATCACTTCTTTCAAACATTACTATGCTTATGAAATTAATTCATGCTATTGCAGGGACTGTAGTTTTTTTGTTTTTTGTTTTTTGTTTTTTTGAGACAGAATCTCAAGCTGGAGTGCCATGGCGTCACAGCTCACAGCAACCTCAAACTCTTGGGCTTAAGCAATTCTCTTGCCTCAGCCTCCCAAGTAGCTGAGACTACAGGCACCTGCTACAATGCCCAGATATTTTTGTTGTTGCTGTTGTAGTTGTCATTATTGTTTTAGCTGGCCCAGGCTGGGTTCGAACCCACCAGGCTTGGTGTATGGGCCGGTGCCCTACCCACTGAGCAACGGGGGCCGCCAAGGACTGTACTTTTTAATCCCTATTGCTATATAGATTTCCATTATGTGAAAATACAATTTCATCCATTCTACTATTCATGGGCTTCTGGGGTCTTTTGAATTTTTGGCCTCTAGCTTTTGGCTCTTAAGATTTCAAGGGAAATTGTGAAAGATTTTATAATGAGAAAAAGATTAGTATGAGGTTGTTAACTGGATTACCAGGATTCTATAGTGACCCTTTGGCATTATCTGATTCTATAAGGGTCCACACCTTTGTCTTTGGGGTCTTTTACAATCCTCCAAATTGCAGAAAACTGATAATAATGCCATAGATTCTTGTGCTTAGAAATACAAATAAATGTCATCTGATAGAGATAAAATTGAATTCCACTTTGTAGAAAAGATAATTCCAAACAGTATGCTGTAGTGCCAACAGGATATTAATGAGGCTTGCATCTATTAGCAAAGTCATTTCAATATTCCTAATTGCCTATATTTGATCTTCGCC